ATCTGCTCAATGACACATTTAAGTTCGTCGATCTCGTCCGCCATTTTGTTGTTTGTTCTAGATAACTCGGTTATAGCTTTTTTCGATTCGTTTAAGTGTTTCTCCGTTTGACATTCGCTTTCATTTTGCCTGTTTGCCAATCGAACGATAACATTGCTCATCTCGATAATTTTTTCTTTTAAACTCGCAATTTCCGCATCTCTAGAATCACACGTATTGCATGTTTCATTTGGCTTCGAGGTTGTTGTTGTTGTGTCCACGTGGTCATCAGTGTTTGAAGAATTTACGGCCAATTTCTTTACTATTAAATCTGATAAGGCATCAACGACCGAGGAATTATCATCTTTAATAACTGATAGCTTTTTTGAGCTTGGTCCATGCCACTTTATGATGACACTTTCGTTGGTAAATTGCTTAGTATCTCCACCCGGCGATGTCCATTTACCACTGAGAAGCAACGCTTCGTCGACAAACCGTTTAAGTTGGATATTACTTCCACTCCAGAGAAAATTCTCCTCGCTTTTAGTCAACATTTGGCTTAGCTTCATTATATTTTGGTTTTCGGCTTGTAATTGTTTAGAATTACTTATATTATTAATCTCAACAACGGAGCTCGAAGAATGCTTACGTTCCGCCATCTTGGATATCAGTTCTGAATATTTCATAAATCCAATTAACAAGCTCGCTTCGATCGTAACTGGCAAATCTGATAAGTGACTTGGCGGTTTGTGGTACCACTGAAGAGGAAGTTCGGTCGAAGCCATGACCGTGGGTCGAGAGTTTGCGTTTAGTCATGGCCGCGTTCACAAATTAGGTATCGGCGACTTGGTAACGTATTTACATTTAACCTAGCTGTTCTCGAGTGCCGAGAACAACACCTCTCGAGGGCAGCACTCCAGCAACACTGGAGAGAGGGGTTCGAGGCACTCGAACTCTCCTCCAAAACGGTTCGAATTATGCCAGCACGGCAGCTATTGATGTTAGCACGAGCGATGGAGTCCGAATGTAAAGAAGGTACGCGTTGCTCGAACCAGAAGGTAACGGCGAACCGCAGATACGGCGCAGATGCGCTTTCTCGACGCACCGATGGAGAGAGACACGCCTCGGCGGAACGGGTCCGTTTTTGACGTCTTGACGAAGAGGTGAAGGCAACCCGACGTAGTAAAGGACATGCCTGAAATCGACAAGACCTGTAGTTTTGACCAACTTGCCCCCAAGAGATGCGCAGCTACAACGATAGGCAGAAGCTCGATAAACGCGATGGATTGTGGGGAAGACAGAAACGACCAGGAACCGAAACACCAATGGGAACGTCACATAGCTCCAAAACCGATGGACCCTGCTGCATCAGACGCGCCGAACAAGTCGGGAAGCTGGGATACGCCAGGCGACAAGAAGAAGCTGATGCCATTCCAATCACGAAAGAAAGCGAGCCACTAGTGGATATCCCGACGAAACTCGACGTTAAGGCGAATTGGGTGCGAGCGATTGCGAAAATGAGCCAGAAGATCAATCATACGGCGCAAAAACGTTCTCCCAGGACGAACAACTTTGCACGCGTGGTGGAGGTGGCAAATCAAGGACTCTAATTCCTGACGGTGACAAGTACGCTTGTTGGACCAAGACTGGAGGAGTGACATGGAACGGTTGAACCTTTCGGCTGGCAACCTAGCAAGTTGAGTATCCGAGTCGAGCTCAATACCTAAGAACACCAAGTATGTACGTAGGTTGCGGGGCCCTCGCATTCTCAGGGTTAAGAGGGAGACCCAAGTGGTTGAAGACGGTAACGAAGTGTCGACGTGCGCTTGGTACATTGGAGACGACGGGGGACCCAAAGTTAAAAAGTCATCGAGTAGTGGAACAACGGCTGAACGTGGTAGTTGTTTGAAAGAATCCAATGAACAACGGACGCCACCGAATCAAAAAATGAATAGAGGAGACCTGAGGCCAAAAGGTAGCACCAAGTCCACATAGAAAGAGTTTCGCCAGTACATGCCTAACAGATGTCGGTCGGAGACGTTGATTGGAATGTTACGGTAGGCAGCCTGCACGTCGAACTTGCCATTAGGGCCCCGGGGCCAATGACAACGAGGGATCTGATAGCGTCGTCAACGGAAATGTATCGCATAGAGAAGGGATCCTTAGGTAAACCAACGTTAACGCTTGCTCCTTGGGGAGAGGAAAAGGTCAGGGATGAGGCGCCACTTCCCCGGTTCATGACGTTTCGGAATAACCCCAAACGGACTGGTTTGAGAGAGGGTAGTGGGGGGTACGTGTACGGACCAGCCACCCGGCGGTGAGCGACTTCCGCCGAGAGATATTTGTCGATCACATCCGGGTGTTGAGACGCCGACTTGAGATTGCGGAGCGACGGACGAAGGACCATACGCTCTGGAACGAAACCCACACGGAAACCGTCGCGAATGCCCGACAGCACATACGCCTTGCGGGGACTAGGATACACCCGGAGCTCGTGCACAAATGCTTCGAGATGGAGAGGGCAAATAGAGCCGATCGTGAACGAGGATAAGGGGAGTGGGGTAGGTCCTAGAAAAAGATCAAAGATGAGAGATACGTAGCCCCCCGACCGAAAAAAAAACACTCCAACACAAAACGAGTTAGAATACAATTTTATTGACTAAAGAGACTAGACTACAAAATGTATGTATGTATGTATTGGCTTAACCACACGACAATTCTATCAGTCCAGAAAAACAATAATGTCGACGAGTAAAGCTCACGAACAACACAACCGACGCGACGCTGAATAAATATCATACTGCGGAGAATCGACAACGTAACAGAAAAATTAACAATATCAACTTTTTGAGAAAAAAGGAGACGCGCTTTCGATGCCCTCTGTGTGTGACTGGGTAGTTTCCACAGCGACGTTAAAAGGACAAAAAATACGTCTATGCGACCCCCCACATGCCAAACGATCACGAGCATGACGACATCTACACTGCCTGCCAAAGGTAGTGCAACGCCCACTGTTCCAGGACCTGCAAAAAAAAACGACGACGAAGGGGTACTGGAACCCGCACGCTGAACGCGACTCGGGGAAGCGGAACACGAACCGCGGCGTTGTGAATGTTAAATAGCTCCACGTTCATGTTTGACCAATCAGACAAACCCCGCGCGGCGGCGTCGCGGCGAAGAGCCTCGTCGTAATTGCGCCGGGCGTCCCCCCGAATTGCGAATAAGTACGTAGAATCAGCAGTTCGTACAAAAGCAAGTCAAGAGCACGGTGGGGGAACCAGGTAACGAGAACGAGGGAGAACATGGAAAACGCTTGGGCCCAGTGAACGACATCTGTAATCTGTTTGTATTCCGGGGGGGGGGGAGTAATTATTAACCGGCCTTCGAACGACATGGTAGGGAGGGACGATTCGTCAGATGGCGGGGACAGAAGAGCTGCCAGATCAATGTAAAGGCCCGACGCTATTGCCGTAAACAGTTTGTGGGGAACGGGGTTGAAACCGGGGCCCACCACCATGGCGTTATCAAACGACTGAGAGGGGAAGGTTGGACAGGGGGTACGTTCCCCAGGGTAATTAGACATGAACGACGAAACAAAATAAGGGATACCTGACCGTTGCACTGAGTCTGGGGGGGGGGGGTAGGAAGAGGGATGTACGGCCGCATTAGCCTTCCCCGAGAACAGTTGCTGGGACCAAGATGTTCGAAGTGGATCGAGGGACAACCCCCCTGGAGTTTGACCAACGAATGGGTCTTGCCGAAGCTAGGGATGCCGAAGGATAACCATAGCCGACCGCGTTCTGCGAAGTGCCTGGGAACGACACGCTCGGAATCCAACATGGGGGCATCTGTAGTCGGGAATGTAGAAGGAGCCGATAAATTCAAACCCAAACGAGACAGAAACGGCGAAGTTGACGGTAAACTAACGTCCCACGACGACATAGTATTTGGCAATGATCTTGTAGACGAAACTGCTGCGCCATATGATGGATAAACTGGAGCTAAAGTACTGTTATTTTCAGCGATCGAGTAAACGATATTATCTGACGAACTCTGCAACGATTGTGACACGTCTGGCACAGGCGATGAGGAAACAAACGCCATTGAGTCAACGTTTGAAATAGATGATCCAGATTCAAGAGGAATTAAACGAGGCATCAGACTATCAGTGATGCTCGAAGTGTTTTGAACGACTAAGTGTCACGACTGAGAATGAGCTACTGGCGTAAACAACGTATATAAGGTAGGTTATGCAAATGCCCTCATTAGCATTTGCCAAGCTGTCCCTGGGGCCCCCTACTCTGATAACTGTCGAGACTTTGAATAATTATACTTACTATGACGTAAGCTTTCTATGTATATATAAGAACGTGTTGACAATAAAGGGCATATATTTTGTAATACAAAGACGAGTACACAACATGGTGTCATGAGTGGGACTAAATATATTTGATTAAAATTTAAAATGGAGCAATTAAAGCCTCCAGGTGAGCTTTGCCTGGAAGGTAACTTAGCAGAAAATTGGCGAAAGTGGATTCAAAGCTTCGAACTCTTCCCCATCGCTAGTGAAATCAGTGAAAAAAGCGAGAAAGTTCAGTGTGCCACGTTTCTACACATAGCTGGAGAAGAAGCTCGTGCTATATTCAACGCCTTCGATTTTGCCATGGTTGGCGACGAACACAAAATAGATATATTGAAAGACAAATTCAAACAGTACTGCGAACCACGAAAGAATTTAACTTTTATACGGCACCAATTTTTCACACGATCACAAGGACCGACTGAAACAATCGATGCTTTCGCTACCGATCTGAAAAACAAAGCCAAACATTGCGAATTTGGTACATTAATCGACAGTCTTATCCGAGACAGAATAGTCGGAGGAATCAGGAGTGATCAACTACGAGCAAGGCAACTTCGCGAAGCGGGACTTCCCTTGCTAAAAGCCATCGATATATGTCGTGCGAGTGAAGCAAGTTCAAACCAGTTAAAAGAATTTAACGATGACAACGACAAGTCGCTTCATACACTGCAAAGTCAAAGATCTAAATTTCCTTACCCGAGCAAGTTTTCGAATACAAGTTTTAATCCAAGACAACAGCAGTCAAACTATGTGTCAAAGAAGTGTGGAAACTGCGGGGGAGAGCATTCTAGTTTACTAAAGGCATGTCCAGCCTTCGGAAAGACTTGTTATCACTGTCGAAAGGAAAATCACTTTGCTCGAGTCTGTCGATCTAAGTCGACACCAGCGTCAGCGAATAAACAAGCATTTCAAGTTGATGAAATCATAGACGACATGGACGATTTTTTCATAGGAACTGTGAAAAATTCTAGCGGCGATGACGGCTGGAGCGAAAATATTTTAATTAATAACAAGCCTATTGAGGTTAAGCTTGACACTGGCGCTCAGTGCAATGTTATGTCACGCAATGTTTACAATACCATCGTCCAAAATAACATCGCTCAAAATGACATCGCTCAAAATAACATCCGGGGCACAAAATCATTCCAATTGGAAAAGCAAGATTCCAATGTCAACACAAGAATGTGATCCATCAAATCACATTTCAGATAATTGATGAAGAGGCTCCATCTCTACTTGGTCGTAAAACCTGTTTGGAGTTGGGATTAATCGAACGAATCATGACCATAAATCAATCTGATTGTGGAAACAATGGTGATGACACTCTTAATCAATATCCAGACTTATTTACTGGTCTTGGTTGTATCAAGTCAGCTGGAAGTCATCACATTGAAGTTGATCCCAACATAAATCCAGTTGTTCACCCACCGAGAAAAGTACCTGCTGCATTACGCCTCAGAATACAGAAATAATTGCAACGAATGGAAGATCTTGGGGTGATCGAAAAGCAGTCAGAGCCAACCAGTTGGGTTAATAGTATGGTAACTGTCATAAAGCCACACAAGTTGAGAATATGTATTGATCCACGTGATCTAAATCAAGCCATCCGAAGGGAGCACCATCCACTGCCAACTGTTGAAGAAGTTGTATCACGACCATAGATATCTCATATACACTAGATAGCGCATCTCGGAATACAAAACTGAAGCCAAAAATCTCAGCGGTTTCCCCCATGAAAATAGGCGGCGGCCATATTGGTCGTTTCCACTCATCAATGAAATGCTATAGAAAATACTATACTTTTCGAGGCTTTTTTGCATTTCTGGATTAAAAATACCTTTTTGAGGTACGTTTGCCTTGAAATCGCAGCTTTTTTGGAAAAGGGTACAAGAAAAAACATTAATTGGCGATGTTGTTGTCTTTGAATCGTATTTTAAAGCTAAAAATTTCGAATTACGACATTCTTTATATATTTGTTTTGAATGGCACAAGTCTGTGAATGATTCTCTGGTGAAGTATCGTCTAATCAATACATGTACTTACGGTTTCTGGCACCACTTTATGGAAATGAAAGTTGGCAAGTAACGTTTCGACTATCGGCGTAGGCAGTTTATACTGTAAAAAGACAGAGTCTGCACTTTCAGTTTGGGCAGTTTTCACTGTAAATCTTTAGTGAAATGTTTGAGACAGAGTTTGCACTTTCAGCTTGGGCAGTTTTCACTATAAATCTTTAGTAAAATTATGTTTGAGACAGAGTCTGCACTTTCAGCTTGGGCAGTTTTCACTATAAATCTTTAGTTAAATGTTTGAGACAGAGTCTGCACTTTCAGCTTGAGCAGTTTCATAGTAAATTTTTAGTAATATTTAGCTTTCTCTGATACATTCTGTGTAATCACTCACACTGGTGATTAAAAGGTACAAGTTTATTTATTTTCTTTCTATTTTTTTGTCCAGATGAATTCTCAGTGGTCTTTTTTCCAAGATGGTAAAATTTAACCTCACAGTAACTCTTGATGATGCTCTTGGTCAACTGAATAACATGATTTTCACCAACTGGTGAGTCAAAAAGATGGTGATCTAGCTCAGTAAAAAGACTGTGTATGGACAATGAAGCCAGAACATGTGGACAATGAAGCCAGAACAGAAGTGGTCAGAACATATAAGTGTCTGCTTTTTAAGAACAGAACAGTATGGACAATGCAACCAGAACAAAAGTGATCAGAACATATAAACATCTTCTTTTTGGGTGACCACTTTTCTTGATGAACATTTTGTATCCATTGTTTTCATAGTACTTTGTCCTTAGGGATGTTTATCATGTTAATGCAAGTCTAATTTCAATCAATGTAATAGTATACTGTAAAAAAACTAAAAATAAATTGCTTACTGATGAAATGTCCTGGGAAGTTTTCTTTTGATTTTTGATTCTGTCACTTGACCCTTCACTATTACTTCTTATAGTTTTTGCATCAGGAATGACTTTTCCCATTGCTATGAAATTTTCTGAGTTTAATTCAAATTTTTAATTTCATTTGGCACCAAAACTTCTACAGGTCTCCAAATATTTTTTAAAATTGGACATTGTTTTAATGATATTTACAGTAGTTAACCACTAAACTCAAAAGGCAAAAATTGAGAGTTTATCATGTTTTCAATTCCTGAGAGTACTTGCAAATTTATTTTATTTTTTTAGAAAAGTTTAATTATTGTGCATTTGATGAGTCAAATAATTAGAAAACACTATTAAACAAAGTCAAAAGTAATATTTTATTATAACAATAGAATTATTTATACAATAGTGAGTGCAACTATATTTAAGATTATAAAATCTACTGTGCATCAAGCAGTTTATCCCATTGACCTTACAATATACAATAATGCAAATTATCAAAATATATGTGTCAAATTATCAATGACCTATGTTGTTATTAATAATTACAGTAATTTGGCAGTTTGATTGCTTGAATTAAAAACAAAAGGTCTAGGACTCAACAGAAAGAAATATTTCTTAACATCAAATATTAAAGATAGTTGGAAGCATTCATACAATTGAAGGTTTTAGAAAGTTTGATTATCAACTACATTTACATAAAGCAATAGCAATTATGTTATATTGCCTGCGAATATATTATTAAAGTTGCAATTATTATTCTCTAGCTTCTAATACATTTTAATCTTGATGTGATTCCATGGAACTATAAAATAACATATGATATGTTGTATATAATAAATATACAAATACTAAGGAGTAAGAACCATTTTTGGTGTCAATGTTTTATATATTGACTATTTAAGATTTTAAGTCTATTTTTGCCACTGATAAACTGACTAAAATATATTGTTTTTCAATGTTGCTGTCTTTTACATAAGAATATACAAATACATTCACAATTTTGCCATGAAGCAATGACGATAGCTCAAAATGTTTTATTTGGAATTGGTGGAACTATATTTATATATAAATATGCATCAACAATGATGGTTTGTCCATAGGGTTTGTCCATAGAAATAATAGATATCTATTATTTCTATGGGTTTGTCCTATGGGCGCCCTTCATACGGGTCGACAAATATTGATATTTTCGAAAAAAATAATTAAATTTTGCCTACCTGTTATTCACAATATGAAGCTCCAACGATCTGGCATCATTTACAATAAGTTGCACACTTGAAAAACCAAAATTGACTGCATAAAAGAGGATTTATTATCAACTTTGTCCATTTCCGCAATACAAAATATACAAATTACCACGCTCCGTGGGAACGACCAATATGGCCGCCGCACGTAAACTGCGACTGCGATCAGGCTTCAATTTTCGCCTGCCTACAGGGTGGGATGCGCTATCTAGTGTATATGAGATATCTATGATCACGACTCCCAAATGCCCGGGTATTTTCTATCCTTGATGCCAGCTCTGGTTTCTGGCAAATAGAACTTGATGATAGCAGTTCCACATTGTGTACCTTCAACACTCCATTTGGACGATACCGGTTCAAGAGACTTCCATTCGGTATTTCATCGGCTCCCGAAGTTTTCCAGAAAGCTATGACAACAATGCTCGAGGGACTTGATGGAGTTGAATGCATCGCAGATGATATTTTGGTGTGGGGAGAAGATACCAGACAACATAACCAACGGTTGAGAGCAGTCCTTGATAGGTGTCGAGAGAGAAACTTGAAACTGAATCGTGAGAAATGCAAGACCCAGCGCACTCAGCTAACCTATGTGGGGCACCTCCTTACTGCTGACGGTTTGCAACCTGATACCGAGAAGGTACGCGCAATCCAACAGATGCCAGAACCAGTTGACAAGTCAGGTGTCATGAGATTCATGGGCATGGTCCAGTATTTGGCAAAGTTTATTCCGAATTTGTCAGAAATCAGTGCACCCCTGCGAAGCCTTGTTGAAAGTAAGACACAGTGGCATTGGGAAGAACCCCAGAAGGAGAGCTTCCGACAGCTAAAATCTCTGGTTGCTTCAACACCAGTGCTGAGGTACTATGATGTTAATTCTCCTGTAACACTCTCGGTCGATGCCAGTTCACAAGGCCTTGGTGCAGTGATAATGCAAGAACAACAACCTATCGCCTATGCATCAAGAGCCCTTACAAGCACTCAACAAAGATATGCTCAAATTGAAAAGGAACTGCTTGCTGTAGTCTATGGTTGCAACAAGTTCCATCAGTACATCTATGGTCAAACGATCAAAGTAGAAACCGATCATAAACCACTTGAAGCTATTTTCAGAAAGCCTTTGCACCAGACACCACTTCGATTACAGAGAATGTTACTTCAGTTCCAACGTTACAGCATGGAAGTAGTCTACAAACCTGGCAAAGAAATGTACCTTCCTGATACACTAAGCCGAGCGTATCTAAATGAAGAGAAAGAAGATCTTCTTGATGAAGAATTGGAAGTCAGCCTTTTGGATCTGGATCTGCCAGTTTCCCCAGCAAAGCTGAAAGAATTCCAAGATGCCACAGAGCAAGATACAGCTTTACAGCACTTGAAGACTGTGGTACTTCATGGGTGGCCCGATAGAAAAAATCAAGTGCATCCTGACATCCGCGAGTTCTGGTCATACCAAAATGAGCTTACGTATATGCACCAGCTTTTGTTCAGAAACCTGAAACTGATCGTCCCGAAAGTCCTGAGAGATGAAATGCTGAAAAGAATACACCAAGCTCATTTGGAAATCGTTAAATGCAAGCAGAGAGCGCGGGAAATACTCTTCTGGCCTGGAATGGGGACTGAAATCGAAGAAATGGTTTCGAAGTGCCCAACGTGCAACGAAAACAGAAACAGCAACGCCAAACAGCCTTTGATTCCTCATGAAATACCAGACCGGCCATGGGCGAAGATAGCAGTTGATCTGTTCGAGTTTAAGAAC